ATAATGGGGTACTTGGGTTTTGGGTAGTAGTCGTTATAGTACAGGTTTTGGGCAAGTATATGATTATTAAGTACTTGGACCCTTAGGGTTTGATTTAAAAAGGTATGTAAAGATGGTGCAGGGGTGATGAAAGGGTTAGGGCTCGGGAAGGTTTCAAAACATGTGTACGCGGTAGAATGTGGGCATTCTTTCGGGGAGTTGCGTTGCCCTTGGTGTATAAAAGGGGTGGTCAACTTTTTATTGTATCTAAGCTCCGCTACATTCTGGTTTTGATATAGTTCCCTGCATTGCCTGCCCACTCTAGAGAGCATTTTGCTGCAAACTTCCATATGTTTTCCAGCCCACACCTCGCAGAATATTTATATTACCCTAAGGGTCCAAGTACTTAATAATCATATACTTGCCCAAAACCTGTACTATAGCTACTACTACCCAAAACCCAAGTACCTCATTATTGGGTACATGGATCCTCTGGGTTCGGCACTGTGCTCTTGCAGGGGATTTTTGGAGGGTAAGGCTGGCAATCGGTGATGCATCATGTGGGGCCAGAATGGGAACCGATGCAAAGCGCCCTACCCACACGACCTGACCATTGCGCGAGCTCTCACCTTCCAGTCGTATCACAACTGATTATGCAAGAGACATCTATTCAAGTATATGTGCACGTGCTTAGATACGCTCCTCCTACACCCGAAATGTTGAAGCCTGCAAGTAGAGTCGATAGCAGGCCTATGCCCATCTCTTGGCCACCTATGCCTACATCGAGCTGGCAGAGCCTTGCCCTACCCAGACAGGGTTCTATACTGACCCACAGTCCGCACAAACTGCAATGTTTTCTTGGGCTGTGGCTGTAGGACCTAAGTTCTATATGGCTTCGGGGGGTAGAGTTTCACAGCTTTGTTTTTTTGAAGCTTAGAGGTTTCAAAGCTGCTGTTGTAGAAGTTAGATGTTCAAGGGATCGTGTTTTTGCAGTTAGGATCTTGCGACTTGTCAAGGTGTTGTAAGGTCCATGAACCCTGCACGGGTTGGGGTTTAGGGTTTAGGGTTTACGGTTAGTGAGGGAATGAGGCAATATATTGTCGGATTTAGGGTTTAGGGCTTAGGAACGAAGAGTAGTCGGAAAACCTGTGACTGTGCGCTTGCATGGTCATGCGAGCCAAAGAGACGGAGCGATTAACTTGTACAACATGTTCGCCTAGAAGATTTGCCTGGGGCTTGGGCTATGTTCTAGCGGGTTTCAGCGATTCGGCTTCGGATTTTCCCAATACTTAAAATCTATACAAACCCCAATCTATTCAAAGCCCTCATTCTGAAACCCTGAGCCCAAAATCCAAAACATCAAGCCCTAAAGCCTAAGCCGAAAACTCAGACCTTCAAGGACACACGAAGAGCGCTGAAGGAAGCTTCGGCTGCCCAGGAATGCTTCAAAAAGGAGAAAGACAAGCCAGGGGCTCATTCGCATCTACCGTTTAGGGTTACGTTTTAGGCTTTCGGCTTTGGGGTTAATGGTTTTTGGTTCTTAGGATTTAGGGCTTAGGAATGTTTAGGGTTCAGGATTTAGAGCTCTCGCATTTTGGGGTTTAGGATTGAGCAGGGGTTTTACTTGGAACGCGTGTAGAGGTGGTGTCCGATATGGGGGGGGCATAATTTGACATCCTATCTTCTATGGGGGAGGTATACATGGGATCTAAATCTCGTGGTGTAGAATTCTTATATCCCGCAAGTGTAGGTTCAAAGGACAAGAAGACTGGAAAATCAAACGGAACCTGGGCGTATGTGGACCTTCATATTCGGTGGTAAGAGGATTTTGGAGAAAGACAAGCCGCGGTTTTTTTCCCTCACCCTAACGGGGAGCAATATACATTTTATTGATAGAATATGGAATTCCTCAAACCATAATAAGATCCCCAGAACCCCATTTTCTATCTACTTAAGGGGGACTATAGCCCTTTACAGAAGTTCTGGGGACCCTAAACCCTGTATGTATCCCCTTTCAACTGGATCAGTGTTCTGAGGGCCGGCGAGGCGGCGGCGCTCTGCGCCTCGGCGGGAGCTCGGCTGCGCCGGGCCTGCGCCGGGATCTCCCCGCAGCCCCCTGGCTACCGATGGACGAATATAGCCCCCATTAAGTAGATAGACTACGGGAAATATGGGGAGCTTGTTATGGTTATGGTCAAGTCAATATTCTATCTACTTAAGGGGGACTATATAGATAAATACTAATTAGGGGGATATGAAGGGTGTAGGGATTTAGGGGTTTAGGGATTTTAGGGTTGAGGGTTTAGGGTCGTTGAGTTGTGACAGATATAGAGGGATATATAGGATGTGGGGTCTAGGATTTCAGGATTTAGGGTTGGGCATTAAGGGACAATTATGTAGGAATACTTAGGGATAGTTGGGGGTGGTTTTTTGGGATGACAGGGGATATAGGTAGGAAGTTCTGTGTGCTCGTACCTTAGGGCTTCATACGGGATGTTTAGGGCTTATGCACGTCGTATGCCTAGAAAGACGAAAGCAGGGATAATATGGGGGTAGTAGATTTGGAAGGACTGGATAGGGATTCTGTAGAGGGACATATAGAAATATATGGGGACAATATAGGGGCATATAGGGTAGGGTTCATGGTTTTGGGAAACAAGTCCAGATTCTAAAAGGCTTTCCCAAATTTAGGGTCCCATGTTTGGGATATGGTGCAGGGGATACTGTAGATATTGTGTAGGGGGTATAGTGAGAGGGATTATTCCATTCGATTCTCTAGAAAAAGAGGTTCTGCACGCCTTGCTGAGACTTTTGACCTCCAGTCCCCGCTACTGTTTTTATCAGACAATTCTGGCAACTCCAACCCTAATAATGAGGACGTCATGTGGGTCTTATAACAGATATAGGATCCTTGTTTTGAGGAAGCTAAGGAAGTCTCTCATGTAGGTGTAAGTTGTAGATGAGGATGGCCACTGAGAATGTTGCCTGCATTTTCTGGACCACCATGTATTCCTCAACCGCGTCCAGCATGTGAGATCAGATTCCGTGCATGAATCTGCTGCATGCTAACCTTTTTAGGAAAGAGCTATCAATACATAGATCTGAATTGACGGCGCATGCACTTCATTCAAGATTCCTCCCACATGCTAGCTTTAACCATGCATTCCGTACCTCAGCCACAATCGATCCATTCTGCCGAGGCTTTCGCTTGCAGAGGACACTGTTGATTCCGCGCCATTTTCACCCAAAGAGCTGATGCATGAGGTTGCTGCAGCAGCAAAGGAATTTGAGCTTTGGCCCCTCAACAAGCAGAGCTTAAAGAACGCAGTGGCCAATCTTGAAGAGAAAGCGCCCCCTGCTTGAGAGCCTGTGCTCCGATGCCACTTGCGCATGTAACAAGACACATGGCCTGGATAGAGAACCTCAACAAAGTTCCCGCGTTTCGGAAATTGGCAGGACAAGGAAGAGAAGACGAAGGTGATCAAGGCTCGACAAGAAGGCCTGACCGCTGCCCTTGGAGTCTGAATGGGTCAAAAACGGGGTTCAGCATCTTCCAGAGCTCAGTGGTCTGAAAAGGAGAAAATGACGGAATAACAGGCAAGTGAGTGAGGAAGTAGCTCAACTAAGAAGGCGGCGTGTACAGAGAGGTGGTTCAAGTTGCTTAGGAGTGTGGAGCTGAAGAGCTTTCAGATCGAAGGTACGGCTCTGTAGGCCCCTACTGTTGGGTAAGAGTTTAGGGTTCCGGGTTTAGGGTTTGGAGTAACCTACTGTTGGGTAAGACCCGAATAGTCTGCACATAGCATGGCGGGACTTATGCAGATACTATTTGTTGTTGTGCCAGTGGAAATGCATGCGGCGCGTGGCCCTTTCTCGATGGGAGTGCCGACTTGGGCAATAACAGTAATAATGGTAATCATGGCCATCATGGTATATTCGTACCGGTAATACTACTAATACTATGAATAATAGTAAGACTAGTAACAATAATAATAATAGTAGTAGATAGGAATTAGTATCAGTAATATTAGTAATGCTACTAATAATAGTAAGAACAATAACAGTAACAATAATAGTAGATAGGAATTAGTACCAGTAATACTAATAATAGTATTAATAGTAAGAATAGCAACAATAATAATAGTAGATAGGAATTAGTATCAGTAATATTAATCATACTACTAATAATAATAAGAACAGTAACAATAATCATAATAGTAGATAGGAATTAGTAATAGCTCGCACAGGCGAGGCCAAAGCTGCAATCGCAGCTGCTCGCGACGCCTGCCTCTTGGGCAGCAGCTTTGACGTTCCGACTGAGGATTGTGGCTTGCGGTCTGCCGAACCGGCTATAGTGCCCCTTTAAGGTTTAGGATTTAGGGTTTAGGGTTTAGTCCCCCTTAAGTGGATAGAATATGGCTTTGGGTCCATTATAACAAGATCCCCATATACCCCATATTCTATTTACGTATTCTTCTGAACCTTCTTAAGCTGACCACATGTCTTCGTCTCAGCAGTGCGCCCTGACCTTGAGGCTGCATCTACAACGACTTGGATGACAGACTCTCAGAAGCTAACTGTTTGAACCTGGTCGGCGCCTCTGATTCTGGGGGCAAATGCAGGCAAGCAAGGGGTGCAGTAGACATATTGACCGTGACCGTTGGGACCAAGGTCGTCTATCTTTGTTATTAGATGCGTAGGCTATATCCTCGTGAGTGGATCGCAAGCACCATGCAAGCCAGTGTACTTCCCGCTGCTGGCAACCCATACAGATGCTCTTGCACTCCTGACTTGAAGCCATGGAAACAAGATATGTGCTTTCTTACATCTTTTTACATGGGTAGTCATCGTCAGGGAAAAACATTTTGGGATCAGGCAGGAAGCCCTTATACGCCCCCTTGGGTAGATAGAATATGGCTTTGGGTATATTATAACAAGATCCCCATATACCCCATATTCTATCTACTTAAGGAGGACTATATGTAGGCAGCCCCCCCGGGAAGCGGAGCGAGGTCGGGGAGCTGATGCTCGCGAAGGATGACGTGGACGAAGCGAAGAACGTGGCCCGCGAGTCCCGAGACATCTTCCAGGCTCCAGCTGCGTTGCAAGGGACAAAGCTAGGGGCCCAAAAGACCAGGTCAACGTAAGAGTTCCCAACAGAGGCTTGTGTGGGATCCCCCGCAAAGGGGACCTGATCCGCTCAATGCCGGATCCTTATGTGTGTCTTTAGGCGGAGCCTTGATTCCTAGCGCATTGTTGGTAAGCAGCTCAGGGGGTGTGCGATGGGTGCCCGGCCAAGGTATGGAGGGGTTGTTGCGTTCCAGTCTTGGCCCCATTCAGCTGAGTCTTTTCCAGCTTGTGGCTCACAAAATGAGGTGCTCTGACGTGCTTAGGACATCCTATGCGCCAGGGAGATCCTTCTCGACTTCAGCCCGACCTAGTTCATCTTTGTTTTGGGCAGCACGCCATTGTTGCAAGTCACTCTGAACTCGTGAACACCATCACTGCAATTTTAAACCCTAAACCCTCAACCTTAAACCCTAAACCCGATATATCCCCTGTAAAGGGACCCTATCATTTGGGCCCTTGGACCGCTGACGCGACTGTGCAGGATCTCGAGGATGCTGCGGGCGAGGCCTGCGCTTGAGAAATGGACTGGCCATTGCTTTTCATGGGTTCCCCAACCCTCCCCTACCCAGACCCCCTAAAGGATCCAAAAAATGGAACGCTCTAATAATCCCATAGTTTCCCCAATGTAGTAAAGGGTTCATATTGGGGGGGTTCCATTTTTTGGATCCTTTAAGGGGTCTGGGTATACAAGCCCCCCGAGGATTTTCATCAACTAGACAGAATTAAGGTTCAGACAGGGGGTTGGTAAGGAAACTTTTCCGCACAGCAGGCGCGCTCACTGAACGTCATCCTCAGCGCCAACATGCTACTGGCAAGCATTGGTCGTGCGAGACAGAGCTGAACTACTTCACAGGTAGTTGTAGTGCTCTGGCCGTGTTGGTGAACGAAAAAGCACATGTAGGGTAAGGTGCCCTTGCTTGATTTGTGCTAGCTAGTCAGGGCTAATTCACAGCGCTCATCCATGACTAGTTCTTCAACTTACCCGGTGTAATTCCAGCAAACTCTACGGCTCTACAACTAGGCCTTTCAGCATCAACCCCGATATCGGAGAACCAGACGAATAGATGCAAATTAAATCAAAATTGCTGTACGATATATAGGGTTATATAATGATTCTTTTGGGATGTGCAATGCTTTAGGATACTCAGATGCTCTGATTTCTGGATTTTTTCAGGGGGCTGTGCCGTCTTCTCAGCGTATATAGGAAGCTCGTCTAGAGTCCAGGCTGCACGACGAAGACTTCGTTGACGCCCTGTTTGCCGCCAAGGACGTGCTATTCTTGCTCCTTGCCAGCAATCCACGAAGAAGAAAACTTGAATTCTGCACTCTGAGTTTTGCAGACGTCCAGTGTGGGGGGACAGGGCAGCTGCGTAGGCGCCATGCGCATAAGGATCCTCTTTGCACCAGATTGAGCGGTTCTGCCTTGGCTGCAGGTTCCGCGGGGGCGAGATCGACCCCGAGGACGAGGATAAGAAGGCCCAATGAGTGCAGCCATTTTACCTCATGCAATTAGTGGATAACTATGGGTTCTTGTGACCCCTATGTCCACCCTTAATGGTCCCTTCGTAACCGTAGTCTGGACAGTAGCCCATGACGCCACAGAGACCTTGGGGGAATGGTCGGGGGATGAAGATCAGAAAAATATTGTTAGACTAGAAACGCTGTTCGCTGAAGCATCGCGGAAGCACCCGCCAAGAAAATTATCGGGCAAGGGTCCGTGGAAGCAAAGTGTTTTGAAGCGCCACCCAAAGGGAAACTAGTCTTTGCGGAAGCTCGCGGGTTGTTATTCATCAATAAGGAATAGAAACCACAGCTGACCTTAAAAACACAGGCGTCAATAAGGCCCACAAGAGATATGGCATCCCTTAATCATACTCGTTAGGCCAACATAGACTCGTGTCTTGAGATGGTTGCTGGGACATGCAAACAACATGAGAAAAGCCTGCATCCGAGACCAAGAACCCTGGCCCCCAGATACTGGACCTACTCTAGAGCCAAAACCTTCTCTGTGCATCACATGACTGTAGGGCAATTTCTTACGTGAGCAGTAGTCCAAACTTCTGAAAGGCTGGCTATATAGGAGATTATCTAGGGGAGTATTTCAGGGCTTATGAAGGGGGATCCTGCGAGTTTAGAGTATAGCTCACATGTCGGGGTTTGAACACTTGCCGCAAAGCATGCTCGAGGCCATAGCCGATGGTCTTCACGCTCAGGCTAAGGCTGGATGACGCGGAATGGGGGTGTTAAGCCAATGCGGGGTTCCTATGTTTTGGATTTTTTGTGGTTTCTGGTATTGTGGGGACCCCTGCCTATGGAAACTGCCGAATACCGTGAATTCCTAACTGCGCGTAGTGTAGCATTGGAACGATGCTCTTCGTCGCTCCTGGTTTACGTACAGCTTCCAGCTATTGCTACAAAGAGCTTTTCAGATATGATAGTTTCCATGCCGTACCCCAATATAAACCCCAAAATACCAGAATATCATGTTGAAAACTCCAAAAAAGGGCCTAACTCGGGAAACCCAAATATTTCAGTGTGCAGTAGGCATCCCCCAGCGCTTTGCAAGTTTTAAGCCAGGCTTAGGTTGGTTGCACCCTCCGCCCTCTGAAGCGAGCCCCACCTCAACTGACCTTGAACCTCCTGGGTCCTTTTTGAAGACAGCCGTATGTAAGGACCCTTTGTGCAGGTTGAATGTTTGCGTCGGGCACTTTGTGTGTAGACATGTAGAACTATGCAGGGATATTGTGAAAATGATTTTGAATCGTTTTTTTCCAGCAGTTCAGGCTTTGGTTTCGAGTCGTTTAGGGCCTCGTTGCTCTGTCTTCAATTCAGAGGCTTGGGTTGGATCTGGCCACTGGATGCATTGTCTCGTCTTAGAATTGCTCACACATTAATTCGGGCCAGGAAATCTTTCGGCGGGGCTTTCTGAACCGTAGGCCCCCTAGGCCCCGAACAGAGTTCCGCTAAGTAGCCCTCAGGTTGCTATGGGAAGCCCTGATGGGAAGATCATATAAATAGTAGTTTTCATTTTCTTTTTCATTATCCCTATATAACCCCTATATAACCCTAATATAACCCCTATATAACCCCTATATAACCCTAATATATACCCCAATATATACCCTATAACCCCTATGGTTTCTGATTTGGTCGCTGCTTCAGTGCTCCGGAATCAGCTCAGAGGAGATTGGCATGACCCCGGCGCAAGGATGACAGCACAAACCAAGAGGCGTACAAAGTGTTACCCCCAATAATGGAGAATCAAATGGAAAAGAAAATGGAAAATGAAATGGAAACTGGGATTATATAGGGGTTATTTGGATGGTATTTTATTTGTTGAATTTTACATCCTCCGCACTGTGCCGGGCAAACACAGCACAGGAGTTCGACGCCAACTTCTACTCCCAGATCGCCAGAATCACCTCCCCCTAAGGCCTAAACCCTAAACCCCAAGCCCTGAAAATCTGGAGGTGCACCTCAGCGTAGGCGAGCTGAAGGCATCTTGGGTGACTGCTGCATGAAGCTAGGTAAAGAAAGCCTCAAGTACCAGTTAAAGCCAGATAATGCCCGGTAGTCCCTTACCATTGGCATAATTGATCACACTAGTGTTTCGTGCTATGCTTACCTCCTGTAGGAGTCAGGATATGTTTCGTTTCAGTATCCATATGCAGTAAAGAAAGTGTCATCGGTCTGGTTTTGCATGGGTGCGGGAGGATTTTAGGTCCTGGCTTTGACGACTCGCGGTTCCTTGTATAAAATGGTGTGTAAGGTACAATTACTCATGCATGACCTGCTTGCAGCAGCTAGAGGACACATGGAAGACGGTTTCAGACTTGGCATTGGGGGTGGAGGTTCTGCTGCCTTCAAGTTGTTTCTGCCGCTAGTTATGCTTTCAGTTGACTTCGGGAAGCCTGGCCACGACATCCGCAGTTTGCTACATGACAATGATGCCTTATGGACATGTCTACACCTCGCACATGCCTATGAGATTGCTTCACGCACGGCAGGTTATCCCAAGCCAACCAACAACTAATGAGGCAACCGACATATCACAAGCAAAAGGAGATGCCATCTCTGAGGGTAAGACGCTGAAACATGCCTCTCATCTCACTGATTCTCTATGATGGCCCCTAAACCCTAAAAGCGCCTCATTTAGAGAACGTGCTCGTGTCCTGACGTGCCAGGAATCTCAGGAAGCAGCGCAAGAGGCGATCAAATACTACGAGCAGGCGGCTCATCGTTGAATGTCTTAAGACGGCGTATGTAGATATGTGTGTATATATGTATATGTGTATGTATATGTATATATGTATATGTATATGGCTGCGAAGCAAAAACACAAGGTTTGTAACAGGCTTGGGCGGTCGTTCTGCGTCATTGGTTTGTAACAGAATCTCCTGGCTTGCGACATGCACCTTTGCGACAAGGTTCTTTTGTAGGGCATACCTGCACCAAGCATTCGCGACAAAGGTATGTAGCAACAGGCAGCGACAAAAGGGTATACGACAGGGACAGGGGGGGGCGCGCGCGACAAAACGGTGTTTTGATTCGCAGCCATATGTATATGTGTGTATATAGCAATTTCTAGAAACCGGGGGCTTGAAGGACCCTGAAATACTTGAGGTTACAAACGGCAGATGATGGGCGCCCCTACAGAGTTGGACAGCTTGAAGGACTTGATACTGTAGGAGTTTCCAGTTTTAAGCAGTTATGTGTTTGAGCAGTGTCCTAGCCGCTCTTGAGAAAGATTGCATCACAGCATGTAGAAGCAATGACGGGTGGCGGGCTGAAAGCCGTCGACCCAGTGAACCCAAGTGAGGGGGTCCCGTTTGGGGCTCCATAGCTTTGGGTATGCGGGGTCAACCTTAAACAGCCCTTTGATATCGTGTCGTGCTGTGTCGTTTCCCCCCCTCGTCCTTAACCCTAAAACTTACGCCCTAGACCTAACCTGAAATGCCGCGTCGGCAGGCCAAGATGACGCCGAAGGAGGGATTGCCTAGCGCGTTGCGTGGTTGAACGGGGCAGGGGTTTTGAAAAGCCTTCCTCTCACCTGGGGGGTTGTTCCATCCCCTAACACATTTCGTGGACCCTCGCCATAATTGAGAGTTTCCCATTTCAGTGAATGGATGTGCATTTTCATCGGGTCTTTGCACTGTATATGTAACCCGAGCAAGTCACAGTGACCTCACCCCTGATCCCAACCCTCATGATGACTTCACACTTAGCCAATCGAAAAAACAAGCCCCCACACCCTACACAAACACGCTTTTGGCGGGCTTTAAGGTTTAGGGTTTAGGGCTGTTCATTAAAGTGAGCGCAGGGATTTTGGAAGTTTCCCATGAAAAGCACTACTTTGAAGGAGCCTGGAGGCATACTGATGTTCAGAAATTGAGAAGGTTGTTCTTCGTAACAGATAGATAGTCCGTGGTCAGTGGACTCCCTATATGGTCCCCATATCTGGAGACTCTTGGAGACCTGAGGTGGCCTTTGGGGGGTCTTAGAGATGTCTTAGGGAGTCCCCCATATGTGGTCACAAGAGACTTTGTAGATTGCATAAACTCCCCCACACCCCATACGAGGCAGCCTGAACCTAAACCCTAAACCCCAACCCTACACCTCAAACCCTAAACCTCAAACCCTGAACCTCAAATCCTAAACCTTTCATCCCACACGTTTAACCCTAAACCTTAAACCCCGAAACCTAAACCCTCAACCCTAAACTCTAAACCTTGAACCCTAAGCCCTAAACCCGCCGTAGGAGGCGGCCTATGGCATGGGTGGCGCCCTGCAGACCTTGGCCCACGCTTATTGCCTCGAGGGGGAGCCAGACCTCGGCTTGCCCTTTGGCAAAGTTAGGGTGTAAGGTTTGGGATTTAGGATCTAGGGTTTAGGGTTTGGGTTTAGGGTTTAGATTTTTGGGTGGCATTTTGTAGGTTTGATGTTCAGAGTTTGGGGGTAGTTTAGGGCACAAGGGTTTTCAAGATTTGGGGCTTTGTAAAGTCTAGTTTACGGTGAGAGTCCCTCTATTACCTGAAGGATGAGATGGTCGTCCCTTACTGCACCATGCCATTCTTGCATTCAAGCTGAAGGAGTCCTAATAGAGTGATGAGCTAGATCTTCTGTTGAAGATTTTTGTCTGCTACAATCACGCAAGATGCTTCAGGGAAACCAGGTTTCGCATCCCGAGATTGTATATAGAGTTGAAGTTCGTGATCTGAATTCTAAGCTCGTTTCCCACCACCGAGGCCCCACAACGAGAGAGCAGCGGAGCTCTTTGCCGCAGCTGAGGAGCTAGTCTTAGTGACGAGCTGCTGTTGGCAAATACCTGATGTAGGCCATGATGCATGCCAGAGACCATTTCAATGATCTACGATCATGGGTTATATAGGGGTTATATAGAGTTTATATTGGGGTTAGAATGGGATAATGGAAAAGAAAATGGTAACGATTATACTGGGTTATATAGGGAGGGACCGTTTCAATGATCTGACTGTAGAGGTGATGGGCTCTTAAAATCTGAGACGCTCGTTCCCCACTCAGCAGTCCGACCTGGCAAGAGGCACACCCTGGATATGGCGAACTGAGACCCAACCCTGAACTCCTAATCTGTGCCGTTTTCAAGATTATGGGCTCTTTGGGGGCGCGGTACCAGTTACAAAGCGGAAGTCTCTGTAGTTCTACAGACCACCAACCTCAACTCCAACAGTCTTTCGCCCGAAGCGAAAGGATGCCACCGGCGAGGCAATGGCGCGAGCTGTGATGGCATATCAGGCCTGGATGGCTGTTGAAGAGCATTGTCACATATTTACCGTATACCTGAACCCAATACAGATTTAGCATGATAATTTTCCACTGCAACCTCAGTAATCAGCTTGACGGAACATCGTTTGGACCCACAGCCTCAAGGCGTTCTCCCCTGGCCCTTAGCCAAAAGCCTGTAGTTTCCACATAAATGTGACTCCAATTTTGTGGGGAGTTTATATGGGGACTGCCATTTTCGGAAACCCATTTCTACCCGCAGCCCGCAATCCATAGGCCCCAAGCCCCAAGCGCCGGGTGCATGGCAGATGTGAAGCCACCCAGCTTGGAGGACACCATGTCACGGATGAAGACGCTGGAGGATGCGCCTGGCGTCTGTCCCCCAGGGCTTGGCGTGCTTCCTGCCGAGCCGCAGGCTCTTCACCCCTTCTGCAAACACCCTCAGCCCCCCAACACTGCACATTTCTGTCAAAAACATACGTTACGTTACGTTAGATTACATTACATGACGTTGCCATACATACAGACATACATACATACATACATACATTCGTACATACATACATACATACATGCATGCATGCATGCATGCATGCATGCATGCATACATACAGACATCTGATACAAAGCTTGTCATTCTCAAGCTATGAAGTACAAGCTAAGCTATACAGCCTGCCATGGTAGGTAGAGCCCCAAACCCTCACCCCTAACCCCTTAAAGAGGCCACGGAGCTTAGCAACACAGATCTAACTCCAGTGATGGACTGATTACATGGTTAGGTTCTCATGCATGCAATGATTCTGCACACGTTGCTGTGTTATAATGTGTCGTTTTCCGTACAATCTCCTCACGTACCCAGCAGAAGGCCATAATACGAAGTTACAGGTGTCCGCCAGAAGGGCCCCCTTTTGGTTTGGAAAACCCCGACATTTAAGATATGCAGTTCTCGGTGTTTGCCTTGACTGAGTCCTTCACCGAGCAGTCAAACCAGCGCGTGACGGACAACTGGACAGTCATGGATGACGCTATGGCTGCTTGTCTGCAACTAAAGAACAACAGCAGTAGTAGCAGTGGCGGAAGCAGCAGAAACAGTCAGCAGCAGCAAGTCAAAAGACAATTTGAGACGATGACGTCCGTGCATGCACCCCGCGGCACAAAGTACAGCACCCAAAAAGCTAGGCAGCGTTGACTGACCTACAACCCTCCGCCCTTCAGTGTAAACGAGGCCATGATGAGAGAGCTCCGGGATCAAGAGGGTGAGGACTGACTTACCAAGCTTTGGGGAAAAGGCTAAGGAAAACAATTCTAATTACAATAGAGTCACAATCCGAATATTACTACGCAATCTCAATAATAAGCATGAGAACAATAATTTTAGAATTCATGGACTCAGAGCTCAAGGGTGTAGCGTTCTCGTTCGGGGTCAGGAAGAGTTGCGTGTGTCTTTCGGATGTTGGGGACGGCGAGGAGCATTGTAGCTCTGGGCGTTGGAGCGCACTGATGGGTAATGGAGGCGGCTAGATTAGCAGGGTAGTTTTGCTTGCGTATTGTACTACCTATTGGTAACGGTTCAGCCTTAAAAGCACACTTTCGTGGTTAGATTGCCGAGTGACAAGGCATTTGTTGCTGTTCGCAGAAGCCCTGTTGTCATACCTGAATCGCGAAGGTTTATTGTTTGTTTCGATCCCAACTTCGTTCCTCAGTGGTTCAGTTAGGAAGCCATTGTTTATCAATCCTTCACCTCTGCAAACAAACACGAACATGTCCCAACTTGCGCCGATGGCGTGCTACGTATCAGTCAGAGTTACAACCAAACGGACCACACGAGTCTGAAATAAACATGAATCGTCACGTGACATCAGTTGAAAGTTATGGAAGAACTCACCCCCGAACAGAAACAGCTGGCAGGACCAGATTGGGTCCTTGATCTACGAGGCAAACCAGAAAGTTGGGCCTCGCGGCAGCAAGTTGGCCCTACCAGCTGCTGAGCTGGTGGGAGATCACAATCTCTGTTCCTAGTCTGGTCAGTTCTGATTAGTTGCTAATATGTGCAACAGCTTTTCGTTGGCTACGCAGCTCCCCAAGAATTAGGGCTCCTAAGGAAGCATCCAAGATTCTAGCAGATGCCCTAACTCTGACGCAAAATTGTCCTAAACCCTCAATTGAAACGGTGGTGAGTGACTGAGCTGTGTCAAGACAAACCTCAGCCAGGGACGTTGCCGTGGGGTTTAGAGTGAAGGGGTATTGGGTGAAGGGGCTTAAAGTCTACTATCTAGGGATTATAGGGCTCTGCCGGCAGTGTCCCGAGTCAGCTCTACAGACCACCCGCATAGCTTTCCTGCCCAGGGACATTCAGAAGAAGATGTCGACACCAACCAGAACGGTGTGGATGGTGGACCGTGTCACGCGAAAGGCCGTACAGAAGGACTGCAGCGGAAACGACTTACATTGTTAAGCCTGCTGAGGAGTGCGTCGCGCACTGGATCAAAGGATATCTTTGCACCATGGGCGTTTTAAACGTTCCGATGAAGTTGAGACATCCCAATATGACGGGCCAACCATGCTCAATACTATGCAGAAGCTCATGCACAGGATTTTGGGTGTAGGGTTCTGTACCAGTTCTGGCCGTGCTCATGCGCACGGCAAGAAGCAAAATAATTGGGGCATCCCCATCCCCACCTCTTCTTCACCACCACACCACACCACCGCCGCCGCCGCCG